CGATACCAGCCCAGACATTGACGCCAAACCTCTCTTGAAAATTGCCCTCTCTCATTGCAGGTTGATTTTGTTGGGCCCAGTACCGAGAATTTTGCTTATTAAACAAGTCCTTCTTGGTAAATCGTGATTCGTCGGAAAATAGAATGAAGTTGATAAAATTTGGATAGGTTGATGTGACAGATATTTGAATGCTCGATATCCGTGCTTTTTCAATATTTTTCTTGCTGATTCGTGACTAATTTCTCTTGAAGAAACCGTTTTGTCAACCTCAACCATAGCAAGAACGTCAATCCCAGCCTCCTCATTTATGATAAACCTCTGTTCTGCCTCTCGATTTCCCTCTTGCCTAAAACGATTCTCAAAATACGGAAAATACTGATGGGATGGATGTTGCCGATTGGGATATCTCTGAGCATACAACTCAGCAGCATTCCTTGAATTTCTGTGACATTCTCCAAACAATAACAACATATCCACTTTTTCACTTTGAGATACATTATTTTGATTATTAAAATAAAATTTAACGAAAATCAAGAAAATTTCACCTTCTGTTCTTGAAGCTTATGTCACCGTCATAACCTAAGTGAGTGTTTTCTTCTCCCAAGAAGAAAAAGAAATGAATTATTATGAAGTATTTTCGTCAGTGATATTTAATTTATGTTCTTATTTGTAATCCAATCGCAAATAAATTAGTATCGTTAGATTCGCCGAAATATCCTTTTTTCGGAAAGTGCTTGTCAAAAAATGGTCGCCATTTGAAAAATAATAGTTAGACACGAAAATGTAATTTTGCCAACTTGTCTTATTCATATTTATCATACTTGTCACTAAAACTTCTCGATTGTAATTTTCTGATATCACCTGAGGTCCTTAGATTAGTTTACTTCCGATCATGGCCACCTAGATGCAATTTCAAAAGTGACTCCGAAGAAATTAAGTGGGCAAAAAAACTTTCGAAAATGTCACATTCTGATCTAGAATTGTCTCAGAAATCCAGAAATGTTACAATATACAGGGTGTATCATTTAAAAATTTAGAACCGGAGCCATTTCTGGTGAAACCGGAAGTGACCGGGAAGTGATAAATATGTGAAAACTCTCCTCTTCATATACCATTTACATATACCAAATCTCATTTTGATACACCTAATGGTCTAGAAGTTATGACTTGTCTAATAGATTCGTTGACACCCGGTATTCAACTAATATTACTACTTTTCAACGGGGTGCATCCAATTTGATTTTTTTTTTTCATCACTATTTGTCGAAATGTTGTTGAACTACTAATTCAAAGTCCAATTTCATCACAAAAAAATAATCAGTCCTCAAAGTTCAACTTCATTAGAGTCAAATTAGGTGAACTATCGATAGTTTTCATTCCATAGAATAATTGTTTAAAAAAGTGTTGTGTTTTTAACCGCCAGCTTAGTTGCAAAGCAACCCTCGAAAGTCAGAGACTTGTGTGAGTTAAGAAGACGGGGACCTTAGCTTTTTAAGTGTCATCCGAAGCACTACTCGGCTGGTAACCGTGGACAGTCCAAAGGATTGATATCTAGGTACCAAGAATGTTGGGTTGGCCACCTATCTCCTCCCGCCCAACGAAACTACCGAAAATTAATTCAGTGCTCGCGCCGGGGATCGAACCCGGACCGCCTGGGCAACAGCCAGCGACTCTACGCTCACGGCCACCAGCCCAGTTAATTAGATATTTTGAAGTGCTCGTTACATTTTCAGTGTTTCAAAAAATAATGATAGTTTGAAAGTTATACATGAAATTCTTTTTTTTAATCCTACTTTCCAGGTCAATATCTCCGAAACGAAGCGCGATATATATATTTTTTAATGAAGTACCAACATTATTTTGGCTCACTCTATCAGTCCTATCATTCACATTATTACCTTTCCGAACATCCTGTATAGTTTGCAAATTTTTCCTAAAACCATTTTTCACTCATTTGGGAAAGTTGCCAGTAACATTTAGATAGCTGTGGATGGGTTATTCAGCAGTGGAAAAATACGATATAGTATAATTGTTATATTATGAAAATATTGCGGAAACTTCGGTAATGCAGCAAGAATTTAGTCTAAATCGGATTTCTCTTCCAGATTAACAAGCGAACAGACAGAAAGCAACGTGTTTGATGCTTGCCACTAAGTCGGAGAAAACCATCCAGTCAAGACGAACCGAACAAAAGATCAGCAAAGACCACTGACCAGAGTGAACTTTTCAAAATTCAGATCCTTATATGCGTACGGAAGGCGATATATTGAATTACTTTCCAGTTTCAATCTCAAGCAAACAGATAGACAGATATTCACCTTTATGTCTCTATGGAAACACGACAGGTACCCTTACGAGGGGAGAGTATCAACTCGGCGTTTATAAACCCTCTCTGCAAAGGAGGTCGGCGCATGGTGGGTTAGGTATATACAGTGTTTTTCATTGCAGAGAAAATCGTTGTTTATCTGCCTACCTCGTCTGCATTGAGAGAGTTGATGAATTGATGAATAATCATAAAATATATCGCATTTCAGTTACGAATGTGGAAAACGATTCAAATTTCAAATTGATGCTTAGTTTCAGATCCGAGCAGCACACTGTTTGGCATTCATGGTTCTTATTATAACCCACGAAATTCAAAAAGTAGCAGATGTCTACTGGGAAAACCACTATTCGGAAGGAGAGCGAATATGAAGCAATCCAGTTACGGTTGTTGGAAATATTATTCAGGTATGTTTCAGATTCAACAGTTTTAATTCTCATGGACTTTCTGATATGTGATATTTAGTTGCAGATCCGAAAAGCAAAGTTTTTGAAACTTGGCAATGAATTGGAGAAAACCATCCAGTCAAGACGGACCGAATAGAAAATCCGCAAAGACCACTGACCAGAGTATACTTTTTAGAATTCTGATCCTTATATTCGTACGGAAGGCGATATATTGAATTCCTTTCCAGATTCTCAAGCAAACTGGTAGACAGATATTCACCTTTATGTCTCTATAGAAACACGACAGGTACCCTTACGAGGGGAGAGTATCAACTCGGCGTTTATAAACCCTCTCTGCAAAGGAGGTCGGCGCATGGTGGGTTAGGTATATACAGTGTTTTTCATTGCAGAGAAAATCGTTGTTTATCTGCCTACCTTGTCTGCATTGGGAGAGTTGATGAATTGATGAATAATCATAAAAATATATCGCGTTTCAGTTACGAATTTTGAAAACAATATTTAGACTTTATAGACTTATATTCTGTACGTCTCACGATTCAAATTTTAAATTGATGCTTACTTTTAGATCCGATCAGCACATTGTTTGGCATTCATGTTCCTTATTATAACCCACAAAATTGAAAATGTGGAAGATGTTTACTGGGAAAACCACTATTAGGAAGAAGACCGAATATGTAGCAATCCAGTAACGGTTGTTGGAAATATTATTCAGGTATGTTCCAGATTCGACATCCATGTTCCACCTCTCATGAAAATCACTTTTAATTTTCATATTTTGATATGTGATGTTTAGTTGCAGATCCGAAAAGCAAAGTGTCTGATATTTGTCAAAAAATCGGAGAAAACCATCCAGTCAAGACGAACCAAACAGAAGATCCGCAAAGAGAACTGACCAGAGTATACTCAGAATTCAGATCCTTATATTCGTACGGAAGGCGATATATTGATTTCCTTTCCAGATACAATCTCAAGCAAACAGATAGACAGATATTCACCTTTATGTCTCTATGGAAAGACGGCAGGTACCCTTACGAGGGGAGAGTATCAACTCGGCGTTTATAAACCCTCTCTGCAAAAGAGGTCGCATGATGGGTTAGGTATCATACATTCCATACCAAAACCAGGAGATATTTCATATGACCACAACATGCTTCTAGCTGCAGCCCCAGGGAAGCCCTTTCTAAGCCAATATGAAGAAAGAAACATCTCAACTCACAGAAGTTTCAACTCACAAAAATTCCAATTTTGACATGTGTAGAATAATGTTTGCAAATTTGGAATTATCCTTCAAAACAGCTCCTGAGGTTACCGTGGATTTATAGTAGATATCATCAATGGCCCAACCTCAGCAAGATTAGTTCTAGCATCTTGGAGGATTTTTTATAGCACCACAGATATATTGGAAACCTGCAAAACTCTCACAGGTACCTTCTTCATAATTTTTGAAAATGAATGTAGACATTGACAAAACATGTTTTTAACTGTATAAGTACAATGCATTATAATGAATTAATATTCTGTTCAAAGACATCATTTTGAAAACACTTACCTATCAACTTGTGTCTCTCAAAAGAAGTACTTTCGGAATAAGGAATAGGTAAGTGCCTACTGATAGAGAAGATGAGCCCACAAAAGACGAAAAATGTGCATATAATCATGGAAATATTCAGGAGTCAATCTGAAATGGCTCTGAAAGGTCTTTATATTGAATCTTGGTATAACAATTTCATGAAAATTTTCAATTTTTTTGGCTTCTTCATTACATATTCTGAAAAAGGTGAGTATGCAACATTCATCATCATGGATTTAATTTTGTCATCTTATGAATCCATTATTTCATGAAGAATGTCGCTAGGTGGGTAACAAATATAAGTTTCAATGCACTTTCCATTTCCATAATATGGTGCTCACTGCATGATTCACTACAATATTATCCATTAATATGTAGGTACTATCAAAATTTGATAATATCAAATAACACCAATGTCTAGGGAATGATTATTGATTAGTCATAGTTAGAAATTCCCACGTACCTACCCCACAGCCCGCACGTATATACCAAAACCATTATTCAATATGTATCATCAATCCATGGATCCAATCCAAAGATCCAAAAATTGATCTTATCTAAACTTTGATGTGTTCTATTGATGATTATTATGTCATTCTGATTGCATGTGGTTTTCACACGGTTGTCATCACATCGATGTAATTTTTTTCATTCTTTGCCGTTTTATTCGTTCCTACACAACAAACGCGACTAATAATACCTGCGCTTGATCCTGAACCGAAAGCTGGGAGAGCAGCTCCTGATGCAACTCGGACTCCAAACCTTCCTTGGTGGTCTGCATAGCCTCCAAACTTGACTTGCACTGGGTGAGAGACCGCTCCTTGGGGCCCCTGAATTTGTCGATGTTCGAGGTTTCTTCGCGCATCAGCCGCAACTCCCCTTTCACTCTGTCATAGATGCTTTTTGCTTTGCTGAAAGGGGGTTGTACCTTAGTTTCTCAAAATACTTCCAACCCAATCAAAATATACGCTCGATGTTCCACGAAGATTATAAGAATTTCCTCTCCTGCGGTTCAAGAGATAAAAAAATGAGAAATATCCAAAATCAGACTATCTTATAAAACACAAAGTCCTTTTTGCCTAGGAATTAATTATTAAAATTTTTATAAATAAGAATTATAAGAAACTAACAGTCCGGCCCGACTTCGCACGGTTGGTGTACCCATTTAAAAAAAAAAAGACAATTGTTGCAGTTGTTTTTGTACGGGTTGGAGTTTTTCCACAAATAAGGCAAAGGCAAAGGTCCGTTAGACAGTTTATTCGCAGCATACATCAATCTAAAATTGCGTAATCACAGTCCCGGCACCTTACCTAACTTCAAACAAGCTCTAAATATCAGTCTCCAGAAAGTAGAAAAATAGCGACTCCTATACATAATGATAGTTACTTACATAAAACCCGGCACCCTGGCTGATTAGCATGCTATTATTTACGAAGTCCAAGCTTCAGCAGCAAGATCTTCGAGTTTGCAGGACAAGACGGCGCAAGAACCTACTACGACGCTCAATAATATTTAAATCTTACTCTTATCGACACCTGAAGAAGGTTCAAACAAGGTAGGCAACGGTAAGGATGCAGACTGATAGGAATCTAACGCGGTACTTGGTTAGCCCGGACAGATATCTGTAAGGCAGTGATCTCCGATGGAAGAATTTTGGTACATTCTGTGCGTATCTACTACAGTACATATTTTTTTGTTAGTTTTCAACATTTTTTGTGCTTGCCTATATCAACTATTATATACTTACACCTATCTTCATTCTATCAGTATCTTTTGTATTTTTTGTTGTTGTTTTACGTATTAAAAATTTCAACCCAATCGGTCAAGCCGTTTAGTAGTTGACGTATCGACAACAGCAGCATCTACCGCGTCCAATTGTATTTTTGAATCATCCAGGAAACCATCGAAATACCCATATAAAATTTCAACCCAATCGGTTCAGCCGTTTAGAAGTTATGTGAAAAAGATAAGTACGGAAGGATAATTCTTACTACCCGTTGTCCTATTACCCGTTTTCCCGTAGGAATGAAGCATTTTTCCGCGGTAAAAAGTAGCCTATGTTCATCAGGGATAATGTCGGCTTCTAATGGTAAAATATTGTTTCAAATCGGTCCAGTAGTTTCGGAGCCTATGCAAAACAAACAAACAAACAATCAAATCTTTCCTCTTTATTATATTAGTGTAGGGTGTTTTATGCGGATTCTCTATTGCATACATGTCAAATGGATATGGATGTTCTCTAGATTGTAATTTGTTAAGTGGCCCTGTATATCAAGAACAACAAAATATCCTTAAGGAATCCAATTTCAACTATCACACTGAGAATACAATACAATATAACAATGGAAAGAAACGATATAAATGTGGATACCTCCTCAGCACACATATGTGATATGATCTTTCAATCTATACTAGAATATACATAACAACTAACTGATATTGAAGACCCGGTACATCTATCTAGGAGGAACTGTCATTCATTAGTGTCTATCAGAGACAAGACATGTGAATTGAACTAAATTTGAGTTTATATGCCCTATTCGAATAATTGGCATGAGTATAACGATTGAATTGTCTTCCATATCGTCGAAATCTCTCGTCAGTAAGTTCTATTTTACCAAAAGGAGGAGTCGAATTTCATTCTTCAAGCTGACTTTACGAACTTTTTTGATATTCAATTAATACTCTATTCTTCATTCAGCAGTTAGATAGAAATTAGAATTTATAATATTATAAGTGGCAATTTAAAAAAATCTGATCAGATAGTAACTCTTTTCGTTCGGGGTAAAATCTACTCACTTGGGTGGATAAATAAGAAAACAGTAAGATACATGTCCTTGATGATTTGAACATGTTTTAGATTGTCCAGTAAACTGAGTGAAGATAGCTGATAGAAAAGTTTTGAATGATGATATATGCCAGGAGGGGTGAAAGAACTTACAGTCACAACTCCACCACATAAACAATTTAATAATGACATAAGGACATGTTTCATGGGATTAGTCTTTCATCACTAGCAAATTTATAAAAAGAAAATCTGTAAGAAGAAACAACGTTTATGTTAGTTTTTAAGTATTGATTAAAAATCTAAATATACCTACCATTATTGGTGGAAAAATATTACTCATTAAAAAACATGCAAAAACTATTTTTAACCGCACATAGTGCGGGTGAGTAATTGTTAGGGAACCACCAGAATAATTCAAGACCATCGAATTGAGTTTGTTCATTGAGGCAGTTGAGGTTAGAGTTTTTGACAGCTTTATTAATTTCAAGAGTTTCAAGGAGGTTGAGTTTTTTTCCTTTGTCAGTTTTTGACAGCTTTATTAATTTCAAGAGTTTCAAGGAGGTTGAGTTTTTTTCCTTTCTCACAGATATGTATCAATAGCAATATTCTTTTTACCTTGCTACATTCTCACTACTGAGATCAATTGAGTTAGAAGGTGAGACGGATCTGAGTTGTTGATTGAATAAAAATAACACGTTTTTATCTGTCAGGAAGGGCAAGGGAAGAAAACATAACCCAACATAATTCAACAAGAATGTGAAATGGCTGAGGAAATTAATGAGAAAAACTACTGGGCTGGTGGCCGTGAGCGTAGAGTCGCTGGCTGTTGCCCAGGCGGTCCGGGTTCGATCCCCGGCGCGAGCACTGAATTAATTTTCGGTAGTTTCGTTGGGCGGGAGGAGATAGGTGGCCAACCCAACATTCTTGGTACCTAGATATCAATCCTTTGGACTGTCCACGGTTACCAGCCGAGTAGTGCTTCGGATGACACTTAAAAAGCTAAGGTCCCCGTCTTCTTAACTCACACAAGTCTCTGACTTTCGAGGGTTGCTTTGCAACTAAGCTGGCGGTTAAAAACACTTTTAAACACACACACACTTTAAACACTGTAGTGAGTATTCAAAGGATTTAACCTGTGGACTGAAACTTCAAAGCTGAAAGCATGTCAAAATGAGAAAATAACCTCACAATTTTCAGCACAGAACCACAGAGTTACTAGAATTAATCCAGTCTCATCTTTTTCTCACTACAACACCAGATGAATAGCAAGCTCAGTTGGGGTGAGGGGAAAGAAATAGTCTCAATAAGTTCTTCAGACAACTCACATCAGACTGAGATAAATGAAACATGCTATACAACTGAGTTAACCTCAGTGAAAGTTGACAAAAAGAATATTACTAATAATAAATAAATACCAGTTACCAAAATTGAATAATCCGTTCACCAACCTGTTTTTAGTCTCCGTCTTCTGCATCTCCGACACGATCCCATTGATACTAGTCTCTGTCTTCGCCAGCTCCGTCCTCAGCGACTTCAGCTCCTGCTCGCACTGCTGGATCTGCATCATCGTCTCGCTGCGCGTCTTCTGCATCTCCAGCCGCGAACTGGCCGAGTTGAAGTAGCCGCCGGTGAGGGAGCCCTTGGAGGAGGCCTGATCGCCGTCCAACGTGACGCAATCCAGGCCGGTGGTTCTTGCCAGCTTGGTGGCCACCTCCATGTTACGACAGATCAGCGTCTTGCCGAACAGGTAGCGCATGGCCTTGTTGTATTTCGGGTCGTACTGGAGCTTGGACACCATCGGAATGGCATCCTGAAAGGAGTAAGATTTCAGTAATTGTGTCAAACATTCAAGAAATCCATTCTGCAGCAATTTTCCTAGATATTAACAAAGCCTGTGACAGTGTATGTCATAATTACTCCAAATATATGATACACCTAGTAAAAGACTAATTACAAAGAAGCTCCCTACAAGTGATTGTACTGCATCACCTTTCAGCCGTCTTCCAACCACAACAGGACTCCCGCAGGCCTCACGCCTCTATCACCATTTCTGTTCAATATCTACTGCCACGATGTATTTGTTCAGAAAAATCCAAACCACCGAAGGATTCACTTCGGCCTATGGAATACAATTTGCTGACGATAATTAGCCACTGATAAGAAACTGGAGAAAACTTCGGGAACGTTTCTAGAGGCAATTCAGGATACTATGAGATGGTTTAGCAAATGGAGACTGAAGCCAAACCCAGAAAAGTTCCAACTGATAATATCCAACCATTACATATCAAATTTTTCACCTTCATTTAGTGTGAAATATCTTATAGTTAGAACGAGTACAGTAGCAATATACTTAGGAATTTACTTAGTAAATTAACTTCAATTACCAAACTAAACTCATGAAGAAAAATTGTCAAAATGCCTAACATTTTCGGAACTTAACATACAAGAACATGAAGGTATATCAGTCAGGATAAAATAAATAGGGTACTCGCTGTTGTGTCTGTGGGTGTCAATTTGTCACAGGCGTTTTTCTCTGAAACGAGAAGACGTACGAATACGATATTTCGACAGTCAAAGTCAAGGATTATTGATGGGTGTGAGTAGCCACCGGTGAGGGAGCCCTTGGAAGAGGCCTGTTCGCCGTCCAGCGTGACGCAATACAGGCCAGTGGTTCTCGCCAGCTTGGTGGCCATCTTCATGTTGCGGCAGATCAGCGTTTTACCGAACAGGGACCCAATTCTCAAATCTCGAAGACTAGCAATCGCATGCGAAATTTGACATTTGTCTACTGATAATCATAAATATGTATTTTGAGATGTCACATTAGAAAATTCTCAGTACACCAAACAAGGAATGGGTTCTACCCAGCAGAAATAAGAGTCACTGGACGACTTTTAGCAAAGATCATTGAGACATTGAGGTTATAAATATTGAATGTGGAGGGTGGAGTGGAATATTATAACTAAATTGAATCAATAATTTTCACGCCATGCACGAAGAGATGGCAATATTGGCAGCTATTGAAAACTCAGAGAACATGGAAGATGCATTGGAGACTGTGAAAGAAGTACAAGGAGACTCTATGAATAGAATGACTGACCGAAAAAATTTCTTGTTCTTTGTTTCTTTATTTATATTCAACTTCAACCTGCAACTGAACTAACATTTAACAACTAATCACATCACTATAATCAGTCTAATCGTTAGGGTACACGAAATTGAAGGTAAACATCGAATATATCAGCGTTCTGTGCATGTGTTACTCTGTTGCCAAATAAATGCAATCGATAAATATTGTCGACTGTCTAACATATCTCTACGGGTACTTGAGAATACGATTTACAACTAGCACACGACAGTTGTACTCGAAAAATTGTCGTGAGCGAGAATTTCATTCATCATTTTAGAATCGGCCCCCAGGTAGCACATAGCCTTGTTGTATGTAGGGTCGTATTCGTCTCTTGTGTCTCTGTGTGTGTGTGTCAATTTGTCACAGGCGTTTTTTATGATGCGCACATATCTCGACAGTCAAAGATTATGAAATTTTATTTATAAGTGTGGATAGCCCTCGGTGAGGGAGCCCTTGTTGGAAGGTATCCTTTAAGAAGAGAAATCGATATTGCCTCTTCATACACTATGTATTGTCGCAAACAACGTGGAGACCAATAAGCTAAACAGGAGTAAACTGCAGCAGTATTTCTGGACATCAATAATGCATTTGATAGTGTTGGGCACCAAGGTTTGAACTTTCAGAGAACTCTGAATTTTATATTCGATTTCACAGTGCCCAGTCTCCGAAAATTGTCTTTAACCAGTGAACTGTCCTTTTCGTTTTCGATACTTTTATACTATCGCAGGTACGTGAGGAAAATCTTCTTCATCATTATGTATCTACAGTCTTCAATTGATAATAACGGAGCTTGGTGAAACCTACCGAATCTTCTGGATAATCTTGTTCTCTGACATTCAACCTATTCAGTGGCATGAAATTAACTTCACCAGGCAACTTCTGTCTGTTCATCTCCTTCAAAATCTGCGTGCCGATTATGTCTGTATCGACAACATGATGGAATAACCTGAAAATGAATAATACAGTTCGTATTTTTTTTGACTAGCCACGATCAGAAAGAAAGTCGAACGCATATGTAATTAACCATCTATGATGTTATGATGTGTGGGCACATCACAAAGAACTCATAACAGCATAATGAAAAACTTATTGCAAATATTAGAAATAATTGCAATCAAATTAGTTCCAGAAAACAATTCAGTTTCTTTGGGAAATGATTCGATAGACTTATAACGAAAATTCAATCACTTGTGGTAATATTACTGAGCATTGTGGTTCTAAATGAAAACCTAATTAGTAGGCGAGAGGTATAATATTGTCTGTTCATTGACTCAAAATTTGTCTGCCTTTCAATGGTGCTAGTTCATAGAAAACATCGAGAGCTCATTTGTCTAAATAGAATATTTGACAAAATGGACAATTTCAGGTAGTGAAGTTTTCAAGAAGTCATCTCAGACAAATTACAATTTTGATTTGATAGTGTAATTTAAAGTTCGATGTTGGTTTGTTGTTTGTTGGCTCTTGGAGTTCCATTTTACACTTCGACGAGAGGTGCAGGTATGTGAATTCTTCAACGATCCTTCCTCAACGATGACGTGAATTTGAAGCAACATGTAATGACTTCCAACAGCACCAGGTAAGAGTTTCTTCTTGAGCTTGATGGATGCTACCCTGGCTTTCTAGCCAGAATAGGAATAACCAACTCTGTCTATTATTGTGAAGTGTGCTATGTGAAGGGTTATCAAGTTCACATATTTTTTAGTTGCAGGATCACAAGACTAAGAGGCGAAGAGTTCTACTCTGACCTTCTGAATATGAAAACCCCCACCTCCATCAACTTGCTCAAACTCTTAGCCCTTAATACTAGGAAAATAACCTAAAGTATAATAAAATCAATACAGAAAACAGGATTGAAGATTTGAATGGAAGTAGTTTAGCCTTGTTCCTCTGTGTTCAATCTATCGAGTTATATACCCTCTGGTCTGAATGTGTGTCTTATAAATGAAATGCCATGATGGACCCATTGGCGAGAAGAAATCCAGTGATCTTCTTTCAATCCTTCGTTTCAATCAAAACTGTTTTTACTAAAATGCATTCAAAAACTTGTGGAGTGGATAGTTAAATAATTAAATAATTTCATTATGTATTCACCGATTTTCCCAATTCGGTCTCTTCACTTTCCATGTTCTAAGTTCTTTTGCATTTGTTGGAAAGCTGACAAATTCAAATATGCCATCCAACTGATTGATACAGCTTAACGCAACACATTTTACCATCCTCCCAAAACATAACTAAATAATGATATTTAGATTGAGTACTAATTGATATTTTGTAAAATTTCTTTCAACGCCTATGAATGTGACGTGACAGCAATGTCATGTCAGGGACGCCAATACACAAAACCAAAGTCACTAGATCATTAAAAGAAGAAGAAACTATGATCTGTCCATACCCTGTTAAGATATGTCAATTTACATCAAGGACCCTAAACTTAGCGAGATTCAAGGCTATTTAACTCTATAAGGTTGCCTCATATTCACCTGGCCTGACGTCACTGTTTCCCCAGTCGTCTTTTGTCGAACGGCAAAATGAAAATGGCGGAGGTGATAAACAAAACAAACAAATTTAGCATTGTGCAATCCAGTGAATTTTGATAAATTTTGAAGTTTTCCAATATGTTTTTGTATCCACGAGATAGTTCACTGTTTTCCCAAAACATGCAGCAAGTACAAAAGACTGAAAACAGAAATCTAGGAAGATATGTTATGTTCCTCAGTGCTCCTGTTGTACAGACACATTACAGAAACTCAATCAAATTCTTATTGCAATATCACTCCATTAGGACTGATTACTGTTGGCATTTAGTGATATGGAGGTTGAGCTACTGATGAAGCATTTTTTAATAAAGAAAATGTTATTGGGAAGTCTGAACCTAATGATGGAATCATGGTGGATAAGGGCACAGTAGAGAGCTCTCTACTGTGATAAGGGCATGCTGACAAGGGATGTGAAGAAATATCTTGAAATTGATTAGGCCTTCATTTCTGAGAAACAAGAAATAATTAACTAAAGAGGATTTCCTTCTGGATAAATTGAATGATTCTAACTCGATGGTTTTATTTCAGTATCAATTTGGAACATATTATTGTTTGAAAATGAAATAATAAGAAAATGAATCAATAAAGAAGTCATCACAATTCATTCCATTTTATTAATGCAATAAAAGTGCAACATAATGGAAATATCTTTAAGATATCTTCCTCATAAGATTAACACAAAATGTTTCATAAAATTAACTGGAATCTCTCTGTAAGTTTTGGAGGAAAAAGAATTAAACAAGAAAATTAGTTTCTTTCAAGTTCATTAGGGACATTTTAGGGCCATTATTCCCAACTGAATTTATCCATAATAAGTGTGTCTCTCTTCCAACTTCTCATGTTTTATACCATCTCCTATCAGGAAATGGCATTGATCCACAAAATGTTCTGAAACTTTATCTAAAATTTTGAGAAAATAATTCAAGCTGAATGTTATACACATTATTTAACAAACCTCTTATGTAAGGACCTCAGTGAGGACACTTATTTCAATTATTTCCATGGTCTTTCTACCTAAAAAATAATTTCATATGGAGAAGATTCTAACCATGGAAAATATTGGGACACAAATTTGTTTGCATGATTTGAAATTCAATATCATATTCAATGAACATTTTGAAAGCTTTGGATTCATATTCAACTCCACGCTGAACAAATTTATTTGAAAAATCCTTTTGGAAGAAGAAGTTGATTGCCTTTTTTCCCAAGACTCCTTGCTACATGTAAAAATAAAGTAGCAAGTATAGCCCAAAATTGATGTAAGTATACAGTTTTCATGATATGGTATGTTAAAATTTAATGAACTCACCAGTGTTCCTGAGTACCATGCAATAGCTAGTTGTTTACATTGAGTTCATTGGCTTCCAAACAAAAAAAAAACAAAATAGACTGATATACCCTGTAAAATTACGTTCAATTATATAAAAGGAGAATGATTTTAGGGGGTCACTTTCCTTCTTTTAATAAGCGGGTAGCAGAACTATTGAAATGGTTTTGCTGTATAATAGATCATTGATTGATCTACTCTCTTTTTATATTTTCACCACTTCTGTGTGTTATATATGCAGCTTCACATATTACAAGTCTTCATTCCTGAAAGTTCATGAATTTTTTACCTGTGTGTGTGATAGATCAAAAGTGCACCTTGCTACCTGTCAATATAAGTCCCTATAACATGTGTTCACAAAACCATGACATGCCTGCTTCACAGGGACATTCACATTGCCACAGCTCATCATTTTCCTTTGGAATTATCCGAATCTCATGTGGAGGCTGCCCAAGAGCCCAAGAGCAGATGATTGTAAACACAGGCATTTTATAACATTTGTTTGTTCTATATCCACTCTTGACTCCACACATGATAATATTATGATGTGACCAGCCTTGAATAATACTACACCATATTATTATACAACCTCTCACCCTCTTTCAAAGATATCTTCAATCTACTTGTCACCATGTTTTCAACTAAAGTCAAAAATTCGCGATTCTTCCGAATTCAAATTCAAAAATTTTTTCACTCCATTTGACAGTGACACAAACGAAATCTACAATCACGTGGCGGGGAAACAGTGACGTCACGCCCCTCCGCGCACCCCCTCACCATAATGCTATACTATGAGGTAACCTTATAGAAGTTAATAGACCTTGAGCGAGATTCACCCACGCCAATGACGGCTAAATATCTTGACTGTCTGACGAACCCGTCAGATATTTAGCCACCATTGCCCACGCCATGTTAGACAGGAAAGGATTGAAGTGCGTACACCAGAGGTTGATTTCATCAATTCGCAATAGAAAATAAGCGCACGTCACCTCTTAGAGTTTTTAAAAGCTGTCAAAGCGGTCTGTTTACTTTGTTCTCATTAGTTCACATTTGCTTTTTGTTTGTGCTTATTGCTCGTATCATCAAAACAAACCGCTCAGAGGTGTTCAAATGTTGCCGTCAGGTGGGGCGACATGTTATTTTCTATCGCGAATATGGATAAATATTGTATCCAAACAAATGAGCTCTCGATGCAATAACCTAGCGCTCACTCATTTAGATCGAGTTTTACCTGTTGCCGGCCGTTACCTCGACCGCCGTATAGATGCTCTTCTCGCACTCAAAGTTCTCGATGACGGGGCCGTGATAGTGCCTTGCTATCTCGGCCTCGCGTCCGCCGCGTGCCACGAACGTCTCGAGGACTTTGCGCACGCTGTCGCGGCCGTTCAGGATCGGCTTGCCGGCCATCGAACGCAGCCGCTGGTCCGCCTTGGCCAGCTCCTCCTTCAGCGAGGACAGGTTCTGCTGGACGTTGTTCTCTTTGCGCCAGATCTCGCTGGAAACAGGAACACACTGGTCAGGTTCCGATATTATACTGGTGACAGTAATAACGGAGCGATTCGAGTATCAGTAAACTGCGAATTAAGGAATGAATATCTAGCAGTGATGGTAGGGGTATGTCGTTGTCTGGCGGCAAGGGAATTATAGATTTACTCAACCCAAGTTTTATGTATGTTAGAAAATATGAATGATCTCGTTGTATCTGTTTACTTACTGCTGATTTTTTGTATTCTTCATCTGATGAATCTGAAATTGATGATGGCAGTTAGGTTAGGTTACGTTAAACGTGAGTGGGCCCATGTTAGGCCCTCCACTGCGGCCTATGGCCTATTGTGGCTCACCCTATGGTTATATTTCTCCCAGAATATCTAATCTCTTGGCAAAATTAAGGAGTACGTTGGGAGAACAATTTATCAGGTTTTCTGGCCCTACTGTTGTATTGCCAAATGTTGAAAATCTGATTCTGGCCGCTGCAGGGCATGTACATAGAATGTGTTTATCCGTTTCATCCTCCTCCATGCATAGACGGCACTCTGCATCTTGTGCAAGTCCGATTTTGTGTATGTGGTGTTTGAGTTTGCAGTGGCCAGTGAGCAAATCTACTATAAATCTGAGATGTGCTTTACTGAGTTCTAGTAGTTTGTCAGAGTCCTGTTTGTTCCTTGTACAAGCAATGAATGCTTCGGAATGGGCTAGGCCCGGTAGACTACACCAATACTCGAGTCTTTTGTTGTCGGCCCAGGATATTATACCATTTTTGGCCGTGCTATGTGCTATACCGATTACCGGTTCTGGCCCAGTGAACGATGTTTCGCCCCCCTCCCCCTTTTGCTAGGACGTCCGCTATTTCGTTCCCTTCTAGGCCCGCGTGACCTGGTATCCAGACTAGGTTAACGTTATTGTGTTGTGCCAGTCGGTTTAAGGTTTCTCTGCAGTCTGCAGTTCCATACTGCTGTGGATTTAAAGTTGGATTCAAGTGCTTTCAGTGCTGCTTGACTATCTGAGAATATATTTATTGTTTTTTGTGTGTGGTGTCGATTTTCTAGCTCTCTTGCACACATTTCAATGGCGTATACCTCTGCCTGGAATATCGTAGCTAGTTTACCCATACTGAATGAGCGTTTCACTACTGGGTTCATCCCGTATATTCCGGCTCCGACGCCTTCCAAAGTTTTAGAGCCATCGGTATACCAGCATTCATTTGCCCTACATAGGCTCGTTTCATTCCGAACCCATTCTTCTCTTTCAGGGAAGACCACAATGTGGGACGTGTGAAGGTTGGTAGTTTTAGGCATAATGTCTGAGGGCATTCCCAGAATGTTGTGAGATATTATACCCTCCAGCATATGATGGTAGTACCTCTAGTACTTCTAATAGCAGTGACAATACAATAAATCAATTCATAGTATGTATTGCAGGGATTTATATGTATACCATCAATATGAGAGGTCAGATTATTCCTCGCTCTAGTATATTAAATTTCATCATCTACTTCAATTTCGTAGTCACTCAAAACGACCCGGAACTTTTTCATAACATTAGACGATACATTTTTGTTTATTAGTTGGTTTTAGGTTTGAAATGGCAAAATTATTTATATATGTTAAAATCACTATAAACACTCGAACAACAAACAGTACCTAAAGAAAATAATAATAATAATTATAACCAATAACAACACTTTCTAGTTTCTAGAGAGGGGATATCACTGGCGCCACATGACCATTTGGTGTCAGTAGTGAACAGTGAATTTCTAGCCTTGCACAGGGTTCATTAACAAACAGCAGGAAAGTGCTGCCAGCAGATAACAGTAATATCGGAACAGTCTAGACTACTGTACAGTGTACAGTGTGTCCAGTTTTCGATGCTTTTGCATGATATCTCAGTTATCTTTGGAGATAGAACCTTGCGGTTTTCGCGGTCCTGTGCTACTTTTTCGTGAAACTGAAGATGGCCTGATCAGATTTTGCAGGACGGTTTCCGTTTATGAGATACAGGGCGATTTTAATAGTGAGCTATGGGTTTTTCGAGGGATTTTCATATAAAGAAATTTACAATTGAAGGAATATTTCCTTCGATTGTTCCATGAAGGAGGAAATAACAATTTCAATACTAATTAACTTGCAATACACAAAACTTAGATACCTGATATCCACAAATATATAGTAATAAAAAGTTTATAATGTAGAATAAGCACCTGATTGAATATTCACTAAAACAATTGAATTTCGAAATTATTCAGTGATTTATTCATTGAATTGTTCAAATTGATGTCCATTTTCCATCACAAACTTTCTCAATACATATTAATCATTGAAAGATGTCTTTGATATTCCTGGAAAACTGCCTCTGTTGTTGCACAAAGTTCTTCAAGTATGTTGGGCCACTCACTGTATTAAGAAGTATTAAGAAAGTTTGTCAACTTAATGTTAGGGAAAATGGATATCAATTTGAACATGTCAATGAATAAGTTACTGAATAATTCCGGAATTCAATTGTTCTAGTTAATATTTAATCAGGTGCTTATTCTACATTATAAACTTTTTATTACTATTTATTTGTCGCTATCAGGTACCCAAGTTTAGTGTTTTGTTGATTAATAAGTGTTGATATTGGTTTTGACCTCTCTATGGAAGAATTTGAAGAAATATTTTTTTTTTATAAGAAAAATCCAAAACCAACTATCAAAATTCAATATTTTAGTGATTTTGAGCAATTTTGAAAATTTTATAGTCATTCGTTATATATCATTTTGAAGGCAAAAAAATAAGGAATTTAATGAGCTTGTGAAATACAGGGTGTTCAATTTAAAAAATCATAAGTTTGAGTCGTATCTCCAAAACCATACCCCGAAAAAAAAATTAAGTGCGCCACTGGATTATGCGTGAAATTCTCTATGCGATAAGATTTTGATTTGACATTTTTGTTGAGAAACTTCGTGGATATGGAGGGGGTCCAAATAGTATAAATTTTCAAAATCACCCTGTATCTCATAAACGGAAACAGTCTTGCAAAATCTGATCAGGCCATCTTGAGTATCATAAAAAAGTGGCACAGGACCGCGAAAACCGCAAGGTTCTATCTCCAAAGATAACTGAGATATCAGGCAAAAGCATCGAAAACTGGACACACTGTACAGTTCTGGCTGGAAATATCGGAACTTGACCATTTTTTATATTCACCGTTGCAGACCGATGACTCCACCAATCAACCAACTGCATCCTTATATTCTTTGGTGGATGTCAGTTTGACGTGACGACGCGTTTATTTATTACTGTTGCATCAACCAGAATTGCAAACCAAACCAGAGTAGGTGGAGAGAATTACGAAATGACAGCTTAGCCTTAAAACAGGAAAAACATCGGCAATGGAGATTTGGATAGTAGAGTTAAATGATGATAATTAAAGAAGTGTAAAACATATTTTTGGAAAACATACCCTAAAACCAAGAAGCATTCATCTGTAGAATACTGAATTATACTCCAATGTTAAGGAATGTCATGTGAAAGAATATGAAATTCCCTACAAAAATCACTGGTTGACTGCTCACTTCTCAAAATAAATATTTCATCCCTAGCTGGAAGAAATGACAAAAAATGCAGGAAATACATGGGAATGGGAAATGAGGAAGAGGGAAATTTATGTACACAATGAGGAAGTTTCCTAGCATTGGGTTTCTGATGTCTAGAATGGCTATTCAAAGAATTCCAATTGTTTTGATTTTAAAAATACAGCATTATTATTAATGGTCTAATCCAGCAGACTATGATGTAGTACCTAGATCTATTGACATTTGGGGATATTTGTCTATTACAAGTTTCTTGATCTATCAACCTCACGCCTACGTACCCGAAAATAAGGATAAGAAGAAAGCTGGCAGTATGGTCTAACCTCAATCTACCAACAAAAATGTAAATAAGTGCTCACTATGGTTTAAATCTGGTTAAAACCACTGTTGCCAGACTGAATTTATCAATTTCTGGAGAAAAGAGGGTTTATATTTTCACTCTCACCAGTTGGCACTACTAAAACATGAGGTCAATGTCAAAATCAAAAATCCCAAAATTTTGCTGGACAGCCCTAAAAGCTATGACCTGTTTTATGGAAAATATTCGAATATTTGAACAAATAGAAAACCTCAAGTTATCAAAAGACGTGAGCCATTTTACTTTTTTCATTCTCAATGTGGAACTTTCTGACCAATTCATACATTGATGGAGAAGATATCATAGCAAAAGCCAAATGACAGAAAAATAAGAAGTATATTCTCAGTTCCACCAACCCTGGCCTCATGTTTTTGGTGGCGTGGTTTGGTGGACCATGAATAATGTTAGCCCTCATTGAAATATCTCTTCAACCTTTCAACAGAATAACAGACAGTATTTAGAATAACAGAAATTCAAATTAGTATGATCAACCTCATGAATGAGCTCTCAGCACAAATGACAGAAAAATCAGAAGTATATTCATCAGTTCCACCAACCCTGGCCTCATGTTTTGGTGGACCATAAATAATGTTAGCCCTCATTGAAATATCTCTTCATCCTTCCAACAGAGTAACAGACAGTATTTAAAATAACAGAAATTCAAATTAGTATGATCAACCTCATGAATGAGCTCTCAGCCCAAATGACAGAAAAATCAGAAGTATATTCATCAGTTCTACCAACCCTGGCCTCATGTTTTGGTGGACCATAAATAATGATAGCCCTCATAGAAATATCTCTTCAACTTTTCAACAGAATAACAGACAGTATTTAGAATAACAGAAATTCAAATTAGTATGATCAACCTCATGAATGAGCTCTCAGCCCAAATGACAGAAAAATAAGAAGTATATTCATCAGTTCCACCAACCCTGGCCTCATGTTTTGGTGGTGTGGTTTGGTGGACCATGAATAATGTTAGCCCTCATTGAAATATCTCTTCAACCTTTCAACAGAATAACAGAAATTCTAATTAGTATGATCAACCTCATGAATGAGCTCTCAGCATCATTGTTATTTTTGTATATACCCATAATTCTATAATCATCAATTATTATGCCTTTCTTATATTTATGTTTCCTCTATAAATCTTATTTCATCAGGTATTCTCTATATAATTTCAAGAAATAATCTGATTTCCACCCAAAGGTAATTCTTTGTACCATAGCTAAATATGTTGAAGCAAAATTTCCTGAATCATTAGATTCACCAATAAATCCTCTGAGCTCATGTTATTTATAAGTAGTTAGTGTCATGAAAATGGTGGAGGAGCCAAAACTATATTATCTTCACAAATTTTTCTTGAACTCAATTTGATAGCAGGAAAAAAATTCAAAATATGTGTTCAATGAATTCTCATAAACTATAAAGAGGAATGAAAATTTGGATGTTGCAAATTTGCTTTTGCACTTCTTCTAAATGAAGAGGAAATGAATAATTATATGAATAAAGATGTTACCTCCCATTGAACAAATATTGATAACAGATACTAACTTCCTTTGTGCTTGGAACTGATCCTTATTCTTTTTCAACTCATAGCACTGCTTATTGTGCTCATCAATGAAATTTTTTTGCCTCTCCAATTCCTGAGACTGCTCTTCAATTTTTTTTGTCAATTCAACATTTTTAGCTGCATCTCTTTTCAAATCAGCCTCCAGCTTGTCACGATGATCTTTCTTGTCCTTCAGTTGCTTGTTCAGTGATTTCAATTCATTTTGGATCCATCTATCTCTGTCATCTTTGGAGGTGAACTGGCTGCCCCTGCCTTGTTTTGCATAAAGCTCTTTTCTCTTTTGTTCTTTCAAAGCTAGTTCTCTTGTACATTCTTCTTCCCGTTTTTTCATTGATTCATATTGTGGGCGCACTTTTTCTAACTCAGCTTCTTTTTCTTTTATAGACTGGGTTAGACGGGCCAATTCATTTTCAGCCCTTTCTTTGGATTTATTATCTCCCAGTACCTCTTCTGATAAATCTTTGATGGTCAAATCTAGCTTAGCCTTTTCTTTGATCAGATGTTGGTGATCATTTGTAAGGATGTCACGTTCTTCTTTTAGGGCATTCAATTCTTTTTTAGTCTCCTTAGCCTTCTTGGCTAAATTTTTTATATTTTCTTGAGCTTTCTTAAGATTATCTGCAAAATTTTTCTGTTCCTTGCCAGATTCATTTCTTTGTTTTTCCAGCTATAAAAAACAATATGAAGCTAATCTCTGAATGAGAAAACTTTGTTTTTCTTACCTCTGCAAGCTTTTTCTTGTTTTCATTCAATTCAACCTCATGTATAATGTATTCTAGAGCTCTACGAATCTTATCAAAGTGTTGATACTGTTTCAACTCTTCTTTTTCTTCTTCCAGAGTACTCAATCTCTCCTCAATAGTACGTAAGAATTCCTCAATCTTTTCAACTTTCACTTCAGTTTCTCTCAAAATTCCCATTGACTCATCACGTCTTTCATCATAAACCCTTGTACCAGCTACTTCTCTGAGTAACTTCAAACGATGAGCATCAGGAGCTGTAGCCATTTGATTAATCTGAATTTAAACAGAAAACATGTACAGTTGAATATTCCACAGTAGTGTTCACTTACTTTTCCCTGCTTAACAATGTAATAAGGATTTGAGTTTGAAAATCCTGCAGATTCCAACAGATTCATAACTTCACTTCTAGGTACAACTTTCTTATTCAGAAAATATTGATCTTTTTTAGCTCCAATCACACGTCTCAGGTATATTTCTTCATGTTCTATCTAAATAGAGAAAAATTAGTATGTAAATTTTGCATCTATTGACTATGTTCAGGTCTACTTACAGGAACTCTAGAATCTGCATTGTCAAAAATTATCTCAACATAAGCTGATACAACTCTAGGTCCAGTACCTTCATGCAGTAATGCTTGTCGTTGTTCTGGACGAAGATGAGCATACTCATCACTGAGTACAAACTGAATAGCTGTGATACAAATATTTGGATTATAAAATTTTGTAGGAATACTGGAAACCACTTACCATAAAAGAAGTTACTCTTTCCTGAACCATTGCGACCTACGACTACGTTATGTCTCTTATCAAATGGTTCAACTACTGTCTGGTCTCTGTAACTTTTGAAGCCCTGGATGATTACCTGAGAGCATAGATTGTTTGTGAAATTCGTCTAATTGAAATAGCTTCACGAAACTTACTTGTTTTATATGCATATTTGTTATTGTTTAGTAGAGTACAAACATTTTCAATTTTCATTCAAATATAATTGATCAAACTTGAACATAAAGTAGGTAAATTCAATCTGATTATAAACAAAAATATTAGGAATTAAAATGGTGGGAAATTGTGATGTATGACATATCTTCTTCTTCTCATTTTTGAATAACTGCCTAATGTAAATATTTTTTAATAGACTTTGTACCAATAATACTATGTTTGGAAAGTCTATGGCATGAAATATAAATATAGCCTTGATGAAATACAACCTGATTCAAAGAAAAAAATAAGTTGAAAGGGAAACTTTTTAAATTCTTGTGCAAGGATATGTTAAAAACACTCAAATCAAAATTCGACGTAAATATTTCAAGGGCATATCCTTGGGATCAAAATAAAAACTTTTTCTTCACAGAGACATGTGTCCTAAAATACAACTATTTCCAGCTACAGCCACTGTGTAAATTAGGTAAAAAAGATTATCTAAAATTGTGAATAAAATATCGGATCTAATCTTCTGAAAATTGGCATGTCGGCCCCTGCCTTTTCAAACATTTTACCTCCTTGCATCGAAATTTATGTAAATCCCGTAATACGTCCTTGAAACATTAACATCGACTTTTGAATCACCCTGTATGTTGTAGTCAACACAATATCAAGAACTAAAGTGAACTGTAGTAAATAATATATTATACTACTGTAACTGTGTCTATAACTTTCATATCTTTTATCAATACCATTTTATGATTTTCACAATAAATAAATTATAACTTGATTTAGGCCATTGTTTCAGGATCCTTGGCTGTTATCTGAGGAAGAAGTTCATCAAATCTTCGATTTAGAAATGCTACTTTGTTCAAAAGTCCATTCACTGTATCCTCCATATAGGCTTGCCTTCTCCATTCTAACTGTGGCAGCAGAAGTTCTGATTGTGCAATACGTGATTCCAAAGAATTTATTTTTTGTTGGACAGCATCAACATAGGCATCTTGAAGAAGATTTGCATTCTTTTTGTCTGAAAATATAAGAGGAAACACCTAAATAGGGTGATATCCTGAAATATACATCATATTTGATATGAGATGAGAAAACAATAATATTCACTGATGAAATATCAAATATCATATCAAGTTAGATAATTATATCAATATATATATATTCCAGAAATGAGCATTTCCAGGAAGTTCCAACAAAATTTTAACTTGTTCAATTCAAAATACCTACTCACCAACATATGATACCATAGCTACATCAATGAGAAAGTGCCTGAAATAGAAATCTGTATGAATGATTTTATCATTGAGTAATTGAGTGTACATATTTTTTGCACTTCCATCAGCCTAAGACTGAAAGTGTATCTTAGTCCTTTGAAAAATGACCCTTCTTCTAGTCCATTGGACTGAAGTAAATGATTGCATTTTACTTCATTATTTAAAATTAAATCAGGGAATAATTCACTGGTGGTGTATGATTTTCTGTAAGAGGCAGTAGAGCATAGAGCATGCATTAAAACAGATATGATGGACAGGGCCATTAAAAGCTTCCTAGGCCAAGTGTTATGACTTGAAACCTCCCTTGAAACATTGAATTCCGGTTCTTACGTTTCACTAATGCTAGGATCAGCAAGAAATGATATGGGAACTAGATCTCCATCTTTGTTACGGATTTTCATCACTCTGTCATTGCCTATATTGCATATTCTTTGAAGCTCATTCTTTATTACACTGGCATCTGTATGAGGAGCAATTTCGAAAGTTTTTTTTGTAACCGGGTGATTCTCTGCTGAAAATGAAATTAGATCACAATGATCAAATTAGTAGTATTTTCCAATGAAAAAATTACCTGACATATCAGACCTCCTGATTTTAAGATAAATTGTCCTTTTCTTGAATTCCATGAGTTCAGCCGAGCAGTTCCTGCCTGAAATAATCAAATTGAATAAGATCTATAGTTCTGCAGTTAGGTTTGTTGTTTAAAATTTGGAAAATGTATGTAAATTATTCATAATATATTTTTTTGTTGACATTGTTGACGTTTGATTCAAATTTGAAATCTAAATTGGTTAAATCCTAAATCCTAAATCACATGTTGACAATATTGACGTTTGATTCAAATGTAAATAAGGTGAAATCACTGGTCTGTTCCACAGAACCATCGTTAATCTATGACAGAACTCATATTACTTCATTACTTACACCAAATCAATGCGTAGCTCTGACTCTGATAAGTCTGATATCGTTCGGTGTAGGTGTACAACAGAGTGTTACACTTGATCTGGAACTCACAAGAGAAGTCAGAATTGTCACATTAGTCAGAAAACCAGTAATGCGATGAATGCATGAAACGAAACACACCTATAAAAAATTACCCTCAAGATGATAATTTCAATTTGCAACTTATGAGTTCAATATGGAACATTTACATCTCATCTTTGGGAACAAGATGGTCAACTTATAAACATCTCAGGAGTTACGTACATGAGCTCCTGGGTTCAAAATTCCAAATCTTGTAGCACCTACTAGGGTTTCTTGATGGAAATTGACGTAAAGTCATATTAAGATGACTTTAACGTTATTTTCCATCAAGGGACTCTACGCCAAATGCATTTCAATTTGTGACGCCTGCTCCCTAGACGCAAGGTGACGCAAGGTTTGACGCAAGGTGACGCAAGTAGGGTCGAAAAGAACACGCTAACGAAGTAATTTAGGCAACAGTGTTCCTGATATCGAGTTAACCTCGAAAACGGGTTGTTTACATTTTTAGAGATGTCATTTTTGTTTTTGTCGGGTCTGTGGGCGAAGCGAATTGACAGGATTGTCTTGTGTGGTAGTGAAAACTGAATAGTGATAATTGATATTGAACTTTGTCGCTAAACATGACTTAAAATATCGAAAAATGTGAATATTTTCTAGTGTATACCTCATTTCACACCTAGTGCCATGTATTTATTATATATTTATATTCTGTTTAGAAAAAAATGTCTGTTTCTACGAAAAGTGCTTTTTCAAAAGTGTATAGTCTCACAAAAGCATCACCCTACAAAAAATATCGGAATTTCTTTTTTGTACTACTTCTAATTTCAATATTCATAGCTCTATTGGTTCCTTTCACGAATTTTTCCAGTGATGTGTCCAAGAACTTCGAAAGAATTGACTTTAGGAACTTGAAAAATTTACCCCTAGTGAAATTGACGAACAGTGCTAGTGTTTTGGCTCCAAAGAACCCCCTTTGCAACCATTGGGACTGTTTCAATATATACCGATGTGGACACACAGGGCACGACAGAATTTCGGTGTATGTTTACCCCCTGAGGAAGTACATAGATGAAGATGGAATACAGGCTTCTGAACAACTTTCTAGAGAATACTTTTCTCTGTTAAATACTGTGATAAATTCGAAATACTATACAGCTAATCCAGAGGAAGCATGCATATTCATACCTTCTATTGATACTCTAAATCAGGACAAGATTCAGCTGAATTTGACATCTAGGGCATTGAGCTCTCTTCCACAGTAAGTTCACATTTGATGTTTATCTAGGCCAGAATATTTTTGCACTTTTGGGACTATAATAGTATCAAGGGCGGATCCAGGAGGGGGTCATGACCCCCCCCCTGGGACTAGGTGAATCTGAGATTTTTTTCTGAACTTTCTGCTCAACAAAACTAATGGATATTGGCCATACCAAGCTGTAATCTGGGCTGTAATTAATTGCAGTTACATTATAATTTGTTTAAGTTTATTTTTCACATATACAGTATGCTTTTTAATAATTGGTAAAATATTCATGAGATGATTCCTGAAGCGTTTCTATGGAAAAAAGTTCCTATATAAACTTTTGTGGAAAAATGCTGCCTGAAGTAGTCCCTTAGTAGTACACCTCTGGAGACGGTTTTTCCGTTTTTCCCGGGGTTTTTCCTCAATATTTCCGAAACCTTTCATTAATGAATCACACAATCAGGTATATGATGCTCATGCTGAATCAGAAGAAGAGCTCAGAATATCAAAATCGTATTCAGGGACGTAGGCGAGGACATAGGTAAGGTACTTAGATGGGTTAAGTGTAGAAACAATTACATTTTTCATGGTATTTTTTTCCACATGCTCATCTCAGATTATGATACCTAGAAGTTTTTCACGTGAAAACGGTACTCCCAATTCAAATCAATAGGGCAAGTTGTTTTTGAAAAAATCCTCCAAATAATCGCTCATAATTCACAATGGAATATGAACATTTGGTTCACTAAATACTTTTCACGCCAAATTATATTCTGAGCTGAAAATTTCGAAATTTTCATCATAATATAATCTCCAATAATATACATACGTATTAGATGTATACTCGAGGAGTATATCACATACTGTTACATACTGAAGGGGTTAGGTTATAACCCCAGTTTTTGCGAGAGTTTTTGATGGCTTGTAAGGAGGTATATAATGTGTATCAGTGTGATAAATTGCAATTTTCTCGAAAAAATATTAGTCCTATTCAAACTAGGAATAACTTCACGTCAAATTTTTTGAAGAATCTGATTAATCAAAAAGCAAAATGATAAAAATGAATCGTCATTAGAACTTTTTTTTTACCGTAATAACTTCAGTATGATACGTCTCTGCAGACGAAAATTCTGAAATTTCCAGATCAGAATCTTATCTGGTGTTGACGGTTCATGCAGTATACCGAATTTCAATATTTCAGTGTAAGTGGGTTCAAAAATATTCAGGAAAACCCGTGGGAAAACCCGAGGGAAAACCCTTCATTAGTGTGCCGATCGTGCCGATGCATTGATTCAGAATATTGTGATTTTCTTGAAAACTCCCAGCCCTATATTGACATGAACTGAGCATACATTATCACGTAAAACACCTCGTAAAACACCTTCAAGTATCATATTTTGTAATCAGAATATAAAAAACAAAAAACACAAAAAATGGGATTGTTTTGAACTTTTATCAACCACTCCAATAATATGATGCCATCGAAATTTTGAGTTTCTGAGCTAAATTTTGATTCAACATCAGATGTACCGAATTTCATGAGTTTTGGATTATGAACGGTTTCTGGGGAAATGCTCAGGATTATGGGAAAATCGTTTCAGGTTGCCCTATTTCGCCCTATTTTGATAAGGGGCGTAGGACCCTCACTCGGACCCTCATTAGGAAGCATTTTGCGACAAATATTTATAGCAACTTTTTTCTTAAAAATACCTCTGGAACAGGGTTGGCACGAATTAATTCATATGAATTAAGTCAGTGAATTAATTCGTGAATTAATTCGTGAATTAATTCAAATGACTTTTTTCAAATAAGTCGTGAATTAATTCAAAATTTATCAAATGGGAACAAATCGCATTATTCGCATTATTACCTTCAATTTAAACTAGTTCAAAATGAAATATTCGATGGCATCTGACAACTGACAACCGTGAAGCACCACACGCGGAAAACAAAATTTTCTAAGAGCCGCTTTACAGTTTACAATATTTCATTGCATGCAATTGATTGCTCCAATTCATATTTCCGGCAAAAATAATATGTAGGCTTTTCAACACTGAATCGGAATTACCGGCTTGCAATGTCTTTTTGTCATATATTGTGTGTATTACTTCTCACCGAGTTTTGAGTTGGGTCAAGAGTTGGGTAGAAGAAACCATGAGAAAGGCAAGAAAAGTAAGATCCAATGTGTATCTAATGATGCGTGAAATTCCGAAAATCTAACCATGTCACCATTAGAATTGCACTAGTAATACAAATAACCACAATATAAATAAATATGTCCGGACTCATTTCTTGCAATGCATCGAAAAATTGCTTTCCAAAGCGACACGCGCCATGGATATTGCTGCATTTTATTGAAAATAACTGTAAAGTCACTCTATAATGAAGATTGTGAATGAGTAATATAATTTGCATAAATATCATTTTTCATTCAATCAATAGTCTCAGTTTATATTGCAAAAATTGCATATTTTAAGTATTTTATTTTCACGCTTCGAGATTTTTAACGGAAATAAAAACTTAGTTTTTTCGATGTTCTTGTATTTTGTTCAAGTAAATTGAATTTGATTTGTTCTCAAATGAATTAATTCAAAAAAGTCCGAATTAATTCAAAAAGTCAGACTTTTTTGACTTTTTTATAAAACTCATGACTTATTCCAACCCTGCTCTGGAATCACCTCCCGAAATTTCACCAATGTTTCGGAAACACCCACTATATATTTATACAGGGTGTATCTAAATAAAATAAATTGAGAAATGAATAAAAAAACTATTTTTCATGGAAATATTAATACCCTGTATTTCGAAAACGAAGTTAGGACACATGTTTATATGAACTTTATTTGCTAGAATGTCACGAGGAAACACCCCTTGTATTTTTTCGGTGTTATTTAGATACACCCTGTATAAATATTGGTATTCTGAAGCCCGTGACTCCCCCCTGACACGAGGGCTGGATCCGCCCTTGGCTAGTATTTAGCATTGACTACTTGCCATTTTCTGGAGCCCAAAAGTGCAAAAAATGATGTAGGTACAGGGTGATTCACCATAAATGTCCCCCCCTCTAGCTCAGTTATTTTTGAACCGATTTCAAAATTTGAAATATCATCTCAAATGATTTTCGATAAAGTTTTTTTTCGCTACATCAGAAAATACAGGGTGCTCGGAACAAACGATCCACAGGGAACTATTTGATTTTTTTATATGGAACACCCTGTTTTCCATTGTATTTTCAGATTCTCCCTGAAGAGCTGATTTGATCAATGCATCACATTTGGGGTCTAGCGGGAATGATTACAGAGATATAGGGTGTTCAAAATCGAGATTTTTCAACTTTAGCATTTTTTTGAGACGAAACTATTCATTATCGGTCAAAACGGCTTTCATGTCCGTATCTTAACCACCCTGTGAATGTTCCAATTAAATGTCAGTAGACAATAAATCAAAAGTTAAGATGGGGACATAAAAGCCGTTTCGACCAATAATGAATAGTTTCCATCGAGGTTTCCACACAAAAAATTCCTAAAGTTGAAAAATCTCGATTTTGAACACCCTATATCTCTGTAATCATTCCCGCTAGACCCCAAGTGTGATACATTGATGGAATCAGCTCTTCAGGAAGAATATAAAAATACAATGAAATACAGAGTGTTCCATTTGAAAAAATCAAGTAGTACTCTGTAGATCGTTTGTTCCGAGCACCCTGTATTTTCTGATGCAACGGAAAAAAAATTATGAAAAATCATTTTAGATCATTTCTCGAATTTTTGAATCGGTTCAAAAATAAGTGAGCTAGAAGGGGGGACATTTATGGTGAATCACCCTGTACATCGACACCATGGGACTAAAGTGACTTTCTTCAGTCTACCACCCCAGCAGGATCGAATGTAAATGGGTCTCTCTAGTCTCATTGTGTCACATATTATACTATAATATTATTATTTTTATGTTTCACCTTTCACACTCATACAGGGTGTCCAAAATGAAACTGCATAATTTTACCAACACCAACAAAAAAATAAAAAAAATATGGTTATTATACCCGTTGTCCCAGAGCCTCGCCCATAGCTTTTAGCGAGGCTTTTAGGCCTCGGTTCAGGACAGCAGTTATATGGGTTATCTAACATAATAATATGTACATAATTTTCAAAAATAATGGAATTCCTGGGAGCAAAAGCTTTGCTTCAAAATTGTGAGAACAAATCACCCTCGTGTCAAACAGTCTAACTATGACAACACCATACAACAGAAAACTCCGAGGCAAACTCGGAAGCAAACTTACACCAATTTCTTCGAATTTTTCTGTTAAAATCAATTCAGTGATTCAGTTCAATTTTTTTCTCATGATTCGGAATGATTATTCAGAGGAACGTTGAGTAGGTGATATAAAATCCCATAAAATGTATTCAATACTTATTTCATTATCTTGTGTATACATTTCTTGTCATCAAATTTTGCTCGAAATTTGACCCAGTCAATAGTCCCGATAACATGATCTCTCGCATGATACCAACGATACCAACAAGATACTATTGCCATTAAACCGTTACTTATCTGTATTATTGCAACATGAAGTGAAAATCTCGGTAAAAATAATCTCCATCTTCCACTGGATCTAACAGGAGGTCTATAATCGGTCTATAACATTTACATTATTTTTAATCAAGTTTATGATTGAAAAAGGTACCAGCCAGGATATCAAATAAATAAATAAATATTTTATTGATCCATTCAGACATTCAGACATCCACAGAATGTATAGGCCAAGTCTGGTTGTATAGAACATACAAAAAAACAAATACATCAATTACTGATATTATAGATAAAATCGAGATGAAATATTACATCAGAGGTACAAAAACATGTAAAATTTAGCTGTACGTCGTCAAATAGACTCTACATTGCAGTCTGAAATAAATTCCCCAATGCTATAATAGCGAGTATAATAGCCTTTGGAGGGTAATGAAAAATTCACTCGGCTTTATAAAATATTTTTATCTATTCACTGAATCGAAAGTAGGCGTTTGCTCCGTCATTTGA